ACTGCAAATAGGCCTATATACACACAATATTTATGGTTAAGGCCCCCAAAGAGGTACCTCATATAGCTCTAAATTTTTACTTTTACTGTCTATATTTTTATAGCTATATCTATTTATATAAGTTGAGTATTTACTTATTACCACTCTCGACCAAATTTTGGTTGAGAGAGGTAACAAAACCCGGTTCAAACCCGGCCACTCGTGTTTTAATTGGAGTCTAATCGATCGTCTCTTCGGATATACTCACTGAGGGTTAAGCGGGATAATGGCGAAGCATCAGTCACATGCGTTGCGGATCCACAGGGACAAAATGTTTAATTTCAAATATTTTAAATTGGACAAAAAACGAAAATGTACATTAATTACATTCCATGCCAATTAACCAATAAATAAATAAATAAATAAAAAAAATATATAAAAAAGAAAATAAATAATAAAAAAAAACACAAATAATAATAATAATAATAATAATAATAATAATAATAATAATAATAATAATAATAATAATAATAACGCTTTACATACCCTGCCAATTAGCTTTCCACATATGTGCGTGTGACTTAGTTTGCTTCATCCAGGGGTAGGCTAAATTCTGGTTTCGATCATTATGATGTTGTAATTTCATCATCATCGCTGCGGTTTCAGCCGACATTGGTGCAGAGGTGCCCACCGGGCTTTGTATTTGACAAGAGGCTGCATATTGGCTCAAGAGATTGTCCTCTAACCGTTGGTCCACTACGGCCATAGTCGCACCTCCACCACCACCACCACCACCACTAACATAACCCCCATTAGATATACTTTGGCGATTAGCGTAAATGCATGCAGGAGGGGAGGCCCCGTAGCTTATACTTCCACTCTGATCTTGGCACACGGATTGCGTAGCCAAATAATGTTCCTTGTTGGTGGACGTATATAAACTGTTATAATACTGATTATTAGTATCCATAGCGCTAAGTGTCGATAAGTTCAATTAAGTGTAATAACACGGCCGTAAAAAAAACCTTCCGATGTGTACTCTTTCTGCCCTGTCGTTATCCGAGTTGCTAATTTGCCGGATTCCGCTTTGTGTATATATGTAGGTGTCTCCTAAACGTTTCACTACCCAAACAAACTGAACACGTGTGCGAGCAGCGCAAGATCATTTATATGTCAGAGAGACCAGTGTGCAGAGTGGTCAAACTCCAATGTAACTTGTTCGAACGTCGGGTTATCAAAGAAACAACAATACAACAGGAATATGCAGTGTCCTGGCTGATAGATGAATTGACTACCTGTTACCGCCCCCTGTCTATGTCTCTTGTTTTCTAGCAGAGAATGTGACAGATTTGGAATTGGTATAAAATCCTAGACGACCAATTTTACTCATCGTTTTGTTTAGATGTAGTATCAATAACAATGGGTCCTAGAACACTGCGGTTGGCTCAATAAATCGTTTAAAAACCCAATCAATTGGTGAACAATTACAGCCTGGGTGTTATCATTGGTACAATTCAGTACGAAGTTTCCAAAGAGATTGTTGATTTTGAAATACGATTACGCAGCTTATAATCACAAAGCAAGCCGCTATAAAACCCAATTAAGACAATCAAGTGACCATTGGAAACGCAATAGATGTCCGGATTTTTAGTGAATGATTTATTGATACCGTGTACCCTTCATTAATTTTACCACACACTCAATAGTTAGACACAATTAGATTTTATCTGCTTTATAACAATTTAAATAAAATAGTATAATATATTATTATATATAACTTTAATGAATTTATAAAACAGGTAAATCAAAGGCCAAATAATTTTTAAAATATTTCGATGCGTTATTTATTATTATCATTAGGACACATCTGATCATCTTGCCGGTTTCTACAAACTCAATAGTTAGACACAATTAGATTTTATCTGCTTTATAACAATTTAAATAAAATAGTATATTATATTATTATGTATAACTTTAATGAATTTATAAAACAGGTAAATCAAAGGCCAAATAATTTTAAAAATATTTCGATGCGTTATTTATTATTATCATTAGGACACATCTGATCATCTTGCCGGTTTCTATAAACACAAATACAAGAATCCCACATTTATAAAAACATACAGAATTTTGAAATATAAACAGATAAATCATTCCATCAGTAAACATGGACCCACTAGGGGTAATATGGGTAAGTGGCCATGCGCCGTGCGAATCACCGATCATATGGGAGTGGTGTTGAAGATTTTTATTTAGATGTGTATATCATGACAATTTATTTAAAATCTAAAATTAGCTTGTGGAATAGCATGTTCCCTTCTTTCTTCATTCTTTCCTTCTTCCTAATTTTTTTGCCCCCCCCCCCAACGTTTCCTTTTGATTCGTCCCAGGTAAAAAGTTTAAGACAAAAAAAAAAACCTATCGAAACCTAGTACCCAATGTTTAGATCAAATGAAACGACGTAGAGACAGTACTGTATACTGAAATAATTGCCAGTTCGCCAAACAAATAGATTTTTTAGCTTGAACAAAAACGTGTAGTTATACAACTTTGTTATCTCTGCATATGAATGAGATTAATTTAGCTTAGATTAAGACCTAGTTGTGAAAATTTGACAAAACCCTGGAGAAACCCCAGAGAAATTCGAATTCGTGGAGAAAATGTGGAATATCCTAGAGACTGGGAGATGAACCAAAATCCTGGAGACTCCATGGCAATTCTGCAGACTGGGAACTTTGCGACACCTGAATACCAAGCTCGACTAAAAAAAGAGTATCTTACTGATGAAATGCTGACAAAAATATTCAATACTATAGGAGTTACGCTATAGTATCAATATTTGATGTCTGGTAATTCTTACCTTTTATACCTATACTTTACTTATTCTTCTATATTACTCATAATTATTGTAGAGGTATTATGCAATATGAGGTAGGTCTAATAATGTTTCCAAACCTCAGGAACACCCTTCTCTTAAAGTTTAGAATTAATAAAAATAAATATTTTGATAGGCGTATTTTACTTTTACTTAACAGCAATATGTTTTTTTTCTTAACCGCATTGATTAAAATTACAAAAATATGCTTCTATGAAGGGCTTGAATTTAAAGAAATATTTGTAACTACAATAAGATCTTATTCATGTATTCGCCTCTTTAGTATAATCTATCGCGAATCACTAGAGTTTATTCAAAACTTTGGTGCAACATTCAGTAATGAATCACCTCGACGATAATGAAGGAATACAACAAATTGATAGTTTCAGCAACCAAAAATAAAATTAATACAATCTATTTGTGCCTTTTGTTGCAGTTTTTTAAAAAAAATGCAATGCAAATCTTGTTTTGTTTCTACTGTTAAATCATCCCAATACAACTCTTGTTTAGTTGCCGAACTGACTTTTGACGAGTTTCAGTATAGAAGTAAATGCAAATAAAAGTTTTCTTTTATTTCTATACATACCGGTATATAATTATGCTTTACCTTCGCTTATTTTGTTGAGTATTGTCGTTTTCGATGGCAACCTTGCTACAAGCATAGGCTACAGGGACGGATCCAGAGATGTCCGAAACGGGGCCGAGAGGGACCGATCGAGATATTGGTACCCTAGATATCCGGGGGCATGCCCCCGAGAAAATTTGGTGTTCTAAACGCCCGAAAATAACTTCTCAGGTTCTTTGGGCGAACGTTATATTTTTCTCTTTCTTTCTGTTTTCAATTTTTTTTCATTTTCCAAAAAGGGGATGGGGGAGGGGCGGGGCCGGTTCGCACCCCTAAATCCGCCCTGGGCTATTTCCTTGAAAAAAAAAATGGGTGATATAACTATTTGGGACCGTAACAAGATTTTTTTTTGAAAATATGAACTTGCCTTTCCCTTCTTTAATACATACGTTTAAAAGCAATATCAAACCGTTCACCTTTATAATCAGGCCTCCAGTCTTCAATTATAGGTGTTAATTCCCTCGCTTTTACTAAATTCCTTTAGTTAGAGTGCTCGCTAGTTATTTTGTTCAATCCGACTTCTGTAGTTGTCCACGTTCATTTTTAAGTATTTGAACATCTGAATATTTTTTTCTGGTACAAAGTAACTTATTACCTTTAAAAAAAATAACAGTAATTTTTTTTTACCAGACAGATATTGTTTTTGCGCAAGCATGAAATTCAAACTTTGGTCAAATACTCTTCAATTTGGTCTGTGAATAAGCTCTTTACCTAAACAGTATGGAAAATTTTAAACTCTCTTTATTTGCAATCGTTTTTTGGAAATACACGAGCCACTTTGCTATTTGAGTACTCATCTGGTCCACACTGAAATGAAAGACAGACAACATTATTTTAAATTATGTACTTCATGAAAGATGAACAATCTCACTCTTTATACCTAGCATCTATTTTTGAAATATCTAAAAACGTTGCAATTATTATTAATATTATGGAATTGACGCAATATAGCCTAATAATACGTTACGTCAGAAATATAAAACCTCCATTTTTTAATTTTGCAAGATGTATGATAAGAGAGCATTCTTGTTGATAACTTTTAATAGCTGAATATATATTACGTAAGTTGACAAATTGATACAGTAAAAAATTATATTAGAAATTTTGAAACTGTGTTAAATTAAGTACACAAGTCAAGGTTGGCCTATTTTATTATATATTAACAGCAAAACCTGATAATTCAAAAACAAAATTTGTCATCCCCTCTTTTAATTATTTTGTTTAAGGTTGAACTATGTTTTGCATTTTGTTGTGTTAAAGAACAAAATTAAAACGCGTTTCTTTCGATTTAGTTACCGCATAAATATCTATGTATTACAGTTACCACTTACAGATCAACTCAATTTATTTCGATCCAGTTGCCACTTATAACGCGTGAACAATTTACTGTTATTAGCGGATTTTATGTTGTTTATTTTCCAATATCTCGATTGTTAAATCATCTGTTAGAAAATTATGATAGCAGTTTTATTATCCATTATGGTCACATTCATCAAAATTACTGTCACTTCAGTCACTGGCTATTATTTATCGGCTGTCGTGTTTCTATAGCTTGTTCTCGCCAATCATTTCTATGCCAATTTCAAAGAGCTAGGTAAAAATATACCAGTAAAAATGTTATGGCTCTAGTCGAATTGGTTCAATACAACAATAGACAAAAAGGCTGGCCCGGGAGAAATGACAACATTAAAATCGGTCCCTGTAAAATAATTAAAAACGGTTCAGATAAGTAAACTTAGTATAGATGTATAGAAAAAAATACCATCTAAGAACAGGTACATAAGAAATGGAGAAATATATAAGACCTATGCTTACACAAAATTACACTAAGGTAACCGCGTACCCATAAATGCATTAACGTACGCTGACATAAATTGGTAATCAACTTGTTTAATCAGCAAATAACAGCTAGGCTAACTATTAGTACGATACGATATACCATTATCACATTCTTCTATAACTCAATATTATATTAGAAATATAACGCTGCCGTCAAAATACTCACGTATCTTTATGAGATATGTCCTACCATAAAGTTGTTTGAGCAATAAGGCATATCTATAAACCATTTTCACGCCCTACAGGTACTGCAACGTATTTATAATATTAGAGGTACCGGTAACACTTAGTTAACACTTAAATGCGTTAGTAAACGCAAGCAATGCATCAATGTAGGAGCGTGCGTTGCTTGCGTGCACGTAAACACGTCAAAATTGTTCTAGGCTTATAATTGTAGATGTCTATTCGAATTCGAACTTCTTGTGACAATAGTCTGGTAAATAATGCTGCAAGAATCATAACTTGTACGAACAAACGCTCACACATCACACCCATTATATATAATCTTTATCTTCATAGTCTTCATTGACCTGATAAGTATTAAGTGTTAACATATTCAAGACATATGTAAGGCCAGTCCTTGAATATGCTGCGCCAGTTTGGCATTTTGGAATCACTGTCTCACAATCAAAGTCCATTGAACCATGACTGAACAGATTCAGAAAAGGGCATGTAAAAGTATTCTAAGATATGAATACAGTTCGTATGACGAAGCCCTGACCTAGCTGGGCCTGAAGCCCCTCTCTCTTCGAAGAGAACTACTATGTACCAAATTTACTAACAATGCATCAAAGTCCAAAAGATATAAGGATTGGTTTCCTCTAAAAAATACATCGCATAATATGAACCTACGCAACACAAAATTCAGGAATACAAATTCAAAACTAATAGATTAAAAAATGGCCAACTCCCATCCATGACGATATTACTAAATAATACTTGTATGTGAATAATTGCAATATACTCCTAAGATCGCGTATCCCCTATTCTACGTGTATTGAA